TAAAATAAATAAAATTATTAATTTAATATTTTAATTTTTATTCTAACATTTCATTAATATTTAATATTAATATTATCATTCAACTTGCTAAGATAACATAAATATCAAATAAGATATTCACACGTATCAAAAAATTTAATCAATACTACATCATCAATTACCACATTAGATTTAAAAAATTTTAAAAATTGAAATATATTTAAAAAATAATAAAAACTAAAAACTAAAATATTTTAAAATTTTTAAACAATTATGAAAACTTAAAAAAATAAAAAAAACTTAAAATTTTAATAAAAAAATTCTTAACATTAAAAAAAATTAAAATTTTGAATATAAAAATCTAAAAATTTTGGAAAAATCTAAATATTTTTAAAATTTTGTAAAAATTTTTAAACTACTTAAAATATATTTTTTTGAATCTTACCATTTTAATTTTCTATTTCTTTTTTAATTTTCAAAACATTTTTTTGGGGACTTTTTATTAAATTTCTAAATTTTTTTTTATAAAATTTTTATAAAACTTACTATAATTTTTTAGAATGTTTGAGATTTTTAAAAATTTTAATTTTTAATTTTTAATTTTTTTATAATTTTTTAAAATTTTTTAGATATTGCCAAAAAAAACTAAATTTTCATTTTTTTAATTTTTAATTTTTTATTTATTAAAATTTCATTTTTATTAAAATTTTCATTTATTAAATTTTTTATTAAAATTTTGAATTTTTTAAATTTCCAAATTTTCAAAATATTTTAAATCTTTATAATTTTAAAAATATTTTAGATTTTTTAAAAATTTTAAAAAAATTTAAATATTTAATATTTTTAAAAAATTTTAATTTTTTTAGAATCTTTCTAATTTTTTAAAAAAATTTTAAAATTTTCTTGTAGTACTAATATTACAATTGATAATATAAAATTTATTAAACTTTTGACACGTATTAAGATCTTATTGAATGCTTATATCACATCATTAAATTAACTAACGATATTAATTTGAAATATCAAAGTTAATAACAAAACTAAAGTTAGAGTATAAAATTGATAATTTTATTACTTTAGACACCAAACTTATAGAAAATATATAGTGCATAGGCCTTTTTTATATTTAACACTTATAGAAAATATTAATTAAGCTTTTATTTGATATTTTAATTTAAAATATTTTATTTATAGATAATTAAGATGTAATTTATATTAAAAAATAATTTTTTTAACGTTATCACACAATAAAAAAATTATAAATGAAGTGTTCACGTGATATTCCCATCAAAAGTTGCAAAATTTTGTGCAACATAATATCTACCCCATTCTTTTTCTTTTTTTGTTTTATTTGACCTTTTTCATATTTTAAGCTTTTTTAATAATTTTAGTTAGGTAAATTTTGTGAAAGAAAAATAAGGTGTTTTTATAAGACCTTTATAGCTCTTTTTTATTATTCTTTTAATTTTTTTAGCTTTTTTCTCTTTTTTGTTTTTCTTTTGGTTTTTACTTTTTTTCATTTTGTTGTTTTTTAATTAGATTAATTTTGTTAGAAGGTAATGTTAATAGAAGTGTTCACGTATCACCTCATTTGATTTTTTTTCTTTTTTTTTTGTTTTATTTTTGTGCTTTTTAATTTGATAAATATTATAACAAAATGAGCCATTTGATAAGAATGATAAAACAATTACTATCCAATAAACTTTGATTAATCTCGATTCACTATGAATATTTTTTAAATTAAATTTGAGTTAGAACAAGTTAAATTTTATCAAAAAAATGAGATTAGATCATAATCGAGTTTAGGATACTTAGCTTTGATCCACCCTATAGTATGTATAAAATATATCTTTTATTATTTATTATTTATATTTATATATGTATTATATTAATAAAATTATTATTTGATATACTTCGATTTCTTTCTTCATTTTTTTCATTTTTATTTTCATTTTCATTTTTCATATTTAATAAATAATTTTTTTTTTAGATTTATAGTGGGACTCATTTGATATTTTTGATTAAGTTTTTCTATTTTTTTATCATTGGATAATTTTGTAAAAATATGTGATAAGGTGTCCATGTGGGACCTGGATTTTAGTTTTTTTTAAGGTTTTTTTTTACTTTTTTAAAATTTTTTAAAAAATAAAAAAATGTTTAATTAAATAAATTTTAAAACATAATGAGCTTGCAAATAAAGATGGCAAAACAATTAGTATCTAATGGGTTTTGATCCATCTTAATTATATATAACCATTTTTATTAAAATCAATATCATATTGAGTTGAGTCTTTTTTAAAAAATAAACAGTGTTGGATCATAAATGAATTTAAGGTGCTCTGCCCTAAGCTACCCTTGGTATATTTAAAAGTATATATTTTAGTATTTATTGAATTCATATTTTTATATATGTATTATATCAATTAAATTATTAATTGATACTTTAATTTAAAATATTAACATTTTAAGCTCAATCGAGTGTTCACATGGCATTCAAATGATCTTTTTTTTACTTTTTTTGTTTATTTTTCTTATTTTTCTTTTGTTTATTTTATTGTTTTTCCATTTTTTATTAATAAATTTATTATTTGTTATTTTAATTTAAGAAATTAACATTCAAAGTTTAATTGAAATGTCTAAGTGATACTTTGATGAGCACCCTTTCTCTGTTTTTTTTTTAACTTTTTGTTTTTTAAATTAAATTAATTTTATAAAAAAAGAAGCCATTAGATGTGTCCACGTGTCACTTCTATTTGGCTTTTTTTTTTCACTTTTTTTAAAATATTTTTAATTAGATAAATTTTATAACAAATGTGTCAATTGATAGAGATGACAAAATAATTTGTATCCGATGAACTTCAATATCTATTAATCTAATATGATGTGATTTTTTAAAATCAGGATCAAATTGAGATGAGTTGGGCTTTCAAAAGAAACAAGATTGAGTCGAAAAGATATTTCAAGTGCTTTGTTACAATGGATTTTAAGATATATTTATAAATATATATTTTTTATTATTAATTTATTTTATATTTATATATATAAATTAATAAAGTTATTATATAATATTTAATTTTTAAAAGTTAATATTTTTAACTCAATGAAATATTTGCATGACCAACAATTATGTGATCTATTTGTAAAATGTCAAACTTTTAGTTTTAGTTATTATGATTCAAATCTTTGCAGCCTCAAATACATACAAAATAGAAAGTACCACATAGCACCCTTACGAAGTCTTGTTCATTTTTTTTCCTTGTTTTTTTTCTTATCACTTTTTATTTTTATTTTTTAATTAAAATTTTTTTCTTTTCACATTTTTTTGGTTCTTGGTTGTAACTAATCTCCTGTTAACTAAATAGATATAAAAAAACTATCTTCTAAAAAAAAAAAAAAAAAAAATCCAACAAAGTGCACCTTAGATTGAAATCAACGAACTATTGTCAAAGAGATTTTTTAGTTCAATAAATAGAAATAAGGGAAGTCCCCCTTCTTTTTGATAAATTCATTTTTTCTATTCATACATTTTCGATCTATCAAAACAAATTAGATTATCTTTCAGTTGATTTGAAAATAGCACGTTAATATTGCTTTTCATTCATTTTCCAATATAGCCATCATAATAAGAAGTGTTTTTTTCTCTTTTTTCTTCATTTTTATTTTTTGAGATTTTTTATTTTTTAATTAGATAAATTTTGTGAAAAAAAAAAGTCAATGGATTTATTCACCTCTATTTAACTTTTTTTAAAACTTTTATCTTTTTATCTTTTATTTTTAATTAAATAAATTTTATAATAAATTAAAAAATAATTAATAAAGATTACAAAATAAAAAAAACTGTATTCTTGTCATCGAGGTTTCAATCTTAAGTTTCGTTTGCTTGAAAAAAATGACTTTCAAAAGTTGATTTTTGAAAAATGTTTATATTTTTTGAATTAAACAATATTTTTTGTTATTTAAGATGAGTTAAGGAAAAATATTTTTCGTTGTTTGATTGTTTTTAAAAAATTTCTTTTTTAAATAATATTAATAAAAATTATTAAAATATATAAAAATTATTTATTATTAAAATTATTAATATTCAAAATAATTATATTTTAATAATAATATTTAATATTAAAATATTATATTAATATAAAAAATACTTAAAATAAAACTACTTATTATTCTTTATTATTTTTTAATATATTATAATATTATTCATTAATAATATTTATTAATATATTATATTAATAGTATATTATTTATTAATATATTATTATAATATTTGTTAATTAAATTAATAATATTTATTAATATATTATTTATTAATATAATAATATTTATAAGTAAAATTATGCTTAAAAGTATTAATAAATAATTCTATTCATAAACAATTATTTTTTGAAAAATGTCTTTTTTTTTTCAAATTCGTAAAACAATTTTTTAAAAAATAATCTCATTTTTCATTTATCAGTAAATCATTTTTTATTGATCAACAAATCATTTTCCTTTAATAAATCCATTTTCTGCCAAACAAATACCTAAAAATATAAAAATTATTTTTTGAAAGTCAATTTTCGCAAAACAAATAGAACTTAAATAACACTTTCCTGTCCTTGAATAAAGGTTAGGAAGGTGCAGTTTAAGATCAAGCTGATGCTGTGAATACACCTAATTGGCACTTCGAAAAAGAATAAAAACGCCTTACCTTGAGCATGATTTCACATGACAAAACATTGTGACTAGATGATTTCAGCACTCAAAAAGGGTTTTCTTCTAATCATCTTTTGTCCAAATTAATCCTGTCAAGATTCAAAAATTTTCACTTCCGTTAGAAAATTTAGTACCAGTGTATCCGCAGTGTCATAAAAACAAGATATTATGCCCTGCGATTAATGTTTCTGTACCTGTTCATATGAACCGAGAGAGCCAAACGAAATTTCTCTCTACGTGTTTAAGGAGATTCATCTGCTTGCATTATCTCCTCTGAAATCCATTGAAATGAGACTAGGATTCAGCTCCACTTTCAATCCATTAGGAAGGGTAAAGGAAGGCAATTTCAATTTCTATATCCTCATTTTAATGCATAATTATGCATTTACTGTGAAGATTTTAAGCTGTTTCCATGAATATGATCTGTAATGAACATAGAAACATAGAAACATCCATAACCAGATATATTATCTCATGCTATAGCGACATGCTCCAGTCTCCAGTCTCCATAAATAGAGCAACTATTAAGAAGAATGACTTGGGCCTTAAGCAGAAAAGAGTGTAGAGACAACTCTAAAAATACATATACGTGACGAAACCTATCTACTTCAACTTCTTTCCAGACATTTCTTTTTATGATTTATGAACTCATTGATGATGCGCTGCTCTTAACCTTAGAAGAAGCAGTTGAAATGTTGCTCTGTGCATGTGAACTCTGACTTGAGGATGACTCGGTGAAGAAGATTATTTGCTCCTGGTTGTCTACAAACACCTGTAGAGATCTTGGAACTGGAGGCAGGTTCACATCCAAAACCCCCTCTAGGATCTGAACTACCTGACCCATAGATGGCCTGTGAGGTTCATCATCCTGGATACACCAACACGCCACTTTGCATATTCTTGATAGCTCTTCTACAGGGGCATCTCCATTCAATCGGGGGTCTAACAGGCTAAGGACATCACCATCTTGAGTTATTAGGCTAGCAGCATAAGTTGGAAAGAATCTAACTTTTCCATCTTCAGATTGTTCAGAGTTTCTCCTTCCTGACACAAACTCAAAAAGCATCATCCCATAGCTGTAGACATCAGCTTTAGCTGTAATGGCGACTCCTGAAATCCACTCTGGTGCAAGATAGCCCCTTGTACCTCTCATAGTTGTCAGGACCCTGCTGAAGTCCCGCCCAACAAGCTTTGCCAGGCCAAAATCGGCGACTTTTGGACAGAATTCAACATCTAAGAGAATGTTTTCAGGCTTGATGTCACAGTGAATGATACAATCTCTGCACTTCTCATGAAGATAAGATAAGCCTCTAGCTGTACCAAGTGCAATCTGGTACCTTGTTTTCCAATCTAGAGCTTTGGAATTCTTTTCATGGAAAAGATGGGCATCCAAAGAACCATTTGGCATGAAATCATATACCAACAACTTTCTTGTACCTTCAGAGCAGAACCCACGAAGCCGCACAAGATTAACATGTTGAACTGTCCCAATTGTGCTGACCTCTGTGCGAAATTGCTTCTCTCCCTGACTGACGCTCTCAAGCTGCTTCACAGCAATGACACTCGAGTCAGGCAATGTTCCTTTGAAAACAGAGCCGAAGCCTCCTCCCCCCAGTTTTTCAGAAAAATTCTTGGTTGCTCTCTGTAAATCCTTATATCCGAAAGCCAAAAGTGAACCTTCAACTGGTTTTGGAGTTTTCATCCTTCGCCTCCTCCATCTCAAGATTGCAAACATTACAAGGACTAGGACTAAACCTACAGAACCTGCAACTGCTCCAATAATTATTCCCTTATTGTTCCTGGAACTCGAAAACTCAGATGCCGCTAGCCTGATATATATAGTTTTTCCATTGCTAGCATCATCCGCAAGTTGTTGCAGATCCAAGAGATCTCCCATCCAAACTTTACATCCATCACTATCGTAAGCGTAAGCACTGCAAGAGCAATTCTGGAGGCAGCTTGATTCACATTCCGAAATGCTCCCAACGGTCACAGACTGGGCATGATGAGGCAACACCATGTTGGGGTTTTCTAAAAATTTATCACTCTTTCCGTTAGCAAGAATGGCATCCTCACATTGCAGCTTGGTTTTCCTTTTACACCCACCAGAATAATCGCTCAGATTCCAATCGCTTGCTGACTTTGATTGGAAACCCGTCAAACAATTACAGAAAGGCAGACCTTTTTCATTGCAGCTGCCAAAAGCCCCACAAAAAGCATAAACCTGGCATTGTTGTCTCGGCTGTGACCAGAACAAATTCCACTGCTTGCTATTTTCCAACCATGACTGTTGCTTTATCTGCCCCGAAACATCCATAATAAATCGAGATATGATAGCAGGATTATAAAGCGAATAAGTAAAATAACTCTCGTTTTCGTTTGAAACATAGCTGAAGTTGTAGATGTAATTCAATCTCATTTCTGGAACTAAGCTGAAAATCCTTGTCTGTTCATCCCAAGGTCCACTCGTCCAGTAATTTTCAGTCTTATTCCATAGTATAAAATATTGATTGGTGCCATTGGGGTCTAGCTCAAGGGAGAAGAGACCCGGTGCAGGATCCTCTGAATTTTTCCATGAAGTAAGAAGTTGGCTTTGATTGGTTCGTTTATTTAAGCTAAGCTTGCCACCAGGAAGCCATGTGTGTGTTGGATGATCAAGACTTTGCCACAGCGGTGTCGATGAATTGGATCCATCTCTTAAAACTAGATTCCCACCATCCTCAAGAACAGCAACTACAAAACTTGAGTTGGTTGAGCTAATATTTGTGGACCAAATCGGTACTTGGGACTCGTTAAACAAAACTAAGTTACCATTAGATAATTTTAATTCTGAAAAGTATATATCACGGACTGGTGTCTCTCTGTTTGCAACCCAAACTGGGGTCTGTTCAGAGACCTTTCCATACCACATTCCTATGTAGTAGTTGGAAGAGTTACCTGGTTTGAAGAAACCCAAAACGAAGTTTCCACCCGATGAAACGATGGTATGATTACCGGACAGGGATTGATTTACTGAGATGGTGTCAGCTCCAAAAAAGAGTTGGCAGTTGATAGAAAAATACATGAAGAGTACGGAAAGTATCAGCCATGGATTTTTCTTGATGGCCATGGCTGTCAGAGAATTACTGATAGAAGAAACAAGACAGAAATTTCAAGGAAGAACAGGTCCCGGATTGATACAAGAAATCATGTCCAAGGAAGCAACGGCTGCTGTAGGGCAGTTCTAATGTATCTCGACCAAAGTTTGAGGAGAGGACAACTATGGCCTTTGTTTATAGAATACACAACATGGGCATTTTGGTCACCTGGCATTCAGATTTCGATCATCCACGGCGGGTTAGCCAAAATTCGGTTTGAACCGATTAAATCAGACAAAATCGAATAAATTCGATTGGTTTGATTCGATTTATTTGATTTTAATTATAATAAATTTTTTAAAATTAACTAAATTAATTAACTGTTCATTTTTCAGATTTTAAAATTAATAATTAAATTAATTAATTTTTTAATAAATTAAAATAAAAAATTAAAATAAATATTTTTATTTATTTTTATAAAATATTATTTAAATTATTAAATTATTTAATAATTTAATTTGAATGATATTTAAATTTAAATTTAAATTTATTAAATTAAATTTATAATTAAATAGTTTTTTATAAAAAATAATAATAATAAATTTAATCATTTAATTAAATCTGAATCGATTTTAATCTATTCTATTATAATTAATTATTTAAAAAAAATTTATTAAATAAAAATCAATTAAATTAATTATTAATTATTTCAAATTAAATCTACTGAATCCATCAATTATTCACCCTCATCATCCACCGTAGCGTGCACACTTAAAAGTAAAATTGGCGAAAAGTCGAAACAAATTATTTTTTGGATATTTTTCCCATCCAAAAGTTTGTGTAGAAAGTTTGGCTGGGTCAACCTTGAACGTGATTGGACCGCCTCCGTCCGCGTTTACTAAATGTTAATCATTATTAATCAACTGCTTGTGTATTCAAGCCTGCCAACTATATCTGCCATAGTCGACAATGACATCTTCTTTATTAGTAATATATTTTCGATTGTGATAGAAAAGTATTTTGACGACAAGAGATGATTTGGTTACATATATTTTAAGATATATTTAACTTAAATCCTTGACCTTTGATAATAATTTACACCAATTTCATTAATTTTAAAAAATTAATGCTGCCAAGTATTTTAAATTATAATAAAATATTTAATATATATTATGAAATTCTGTATTTAAAGTAAAAGTAAAAACTTGTCTATCCACACCAAGCTTTCAAAAATCGGTCTTTTTTCTCCACTATTTTTTTTATTTTTCAAAATTTTTAATTTTTTTTCATTATGATAAGGGTATTATTATTATATATGGGGGTATTACATGAGAAATACATGCTTAGATTAACAGATTTTCTAACATGTCTTTTTTGCATGCTTAAATAGATAATTTTGAATCAAGATGTTCATTTTTTATACTAACGGACTAGCACTGAATTAAGATCAAAAGTGAAAGAGGTAGATAGAATTTACCATATATTTTTATTCTAGCAATTACTTACTGAAATGTAAAGTAGGGTGATACTTATTTATTGTACTGATAATTAGCATTTCATAACGTATTAGAATGGATGCTCGCTTTATGTTGTAGTATTTTCTAATAATTTTAGTTAAAAATTTTTTAAATGGAAACTTATTGTGAATAAATTATTTAAGAAATAGATTTTATTACAAATAATTTATTGAAAAATATTCCAAAATGCTCCATCAATTTTTTACTCAAATTTTAAAATAAAAATAGCTTTTTATTTAATATCATTATTTTTTTTAGAAATTCATTATTTCAAATTTATAATTTCTATTTTTACACTCCATATTAACATCCTTAAAATAATGTGAAGAACTTTTTGAGTAGAATAAAAAAAAAAACTTTTTGTTTTAATTATATATTTTTTTATCCATTAATAATTATTTACCATATTTCACTTTTATGAATTTTGTGACTAATTTTATTATTTCATTTATTTTTAATTTATTCTTTATTAATTTAATTAATTTTCATATTAAAAAATTTTAAGTCTTTCTTAATATTTTGTAGAGTTAATAAAAATCCACTAACCTTAAATTTTTGGTTTAAAAAATTATTTATAAATTTATTTAATTCTCATTTTGAAATTTTTAAAATTTCATTAATATTTTGGTGGATTCAATAAAATTGTCATCACTTTAAAATTTTATTTTAGAAAATTGTTACTATTTCTAACTGAATTTTCATTATTGAATGTTTAAATAATTAATTTATTCTATATTTTAATATATTTTTGACGAATTTAATTTTTAAAATATAATTCAATAAATTTACATAATTGCAAAATAAAATATATAATTAAAGAATAAAAATATAAATAAATATAATTCAAAAAATTTTTAAAAAGATATTTTTCTTTGATGGATTCATTTGGACTTGATATTGGATTTGAATTTGATATTGGATTTAGACTTGACTAATTAGGTTAGACGAGCCTTGAACGAGGCCTAAAGTAAGAGGCACAATTACTTATCCAAAAGCAACCATTAAATAAATAAAATGGTCATTTTTTATTTTAGTCAGATGTCAAACAAAAAAAAAAACCCCCCTTAATGATTTTTCAAAAAAAAAAAGCTTTAACAATTCTTTTAATATAGTATTATAGATAAATAATTAATATTCTATATTTTAATATAGTTTTTACAAACTTGATTTTTTAAATATAATTCAATAAATTAACATAATTGTAAAATAAAATAAATAATTAAAGAATACAAAAATATAAGTAAATATATTTCAAATAATTTTAAAAAATATTTTTCTTCAATGGATTAATTTAGATTTAATATTAGATTTGAACTTGAATTCATTGGAACTTGATTTTGAAATTGAACTTAACCAATTAAGTTGATTTGATAACACTTGAATGAGGCCTAATATATCCAATTACTTATCGAAAAAGAATTATTAAAGGGATAAATGATCATTTTTAATATTATATTCGACAAATGTTTTTTAAAAAATCTGAGATATTTTTAATATATAGTTATAGATTTGTTTTCGATGAATAAAGAAAAAAACATATTCAAGTTTTGATATGAGTGCTTGTGAATAAATGATTTCTAAGTATTAAAGAAACAAAATGAGAAAAGCTTTGGTAAAGTAAAAAAAAAAGTAAAGTTGTTAATATTGTACCGTATATAATTTTAGTTTTTGAAAAAAAAGAACTTAATGTCAGTACCAATTGTTTTAGCGTATTATTTTTAGGTACAGAACTCTATGAGATTTAGTGGGGACTTAAGCCATGTAGAAATTAAAAAAAAAAAATTGAAATTACCTTTGTTCTAGATAAAGTTTAAAAAAAAATTTATTAATATAATTTTTTTTGTTGTCAAGACTAATTTTGATTTTGTGAATTGTCACCATCGTAGTAGAAAAGGCATTTTCAGTAATAAATATTTTAAACACTCAATTATATAATTAAATGAAATATCTATAAACATTCAATTTTATCCGAATTTTTTTAATTTTCTTAATTTATTTTTGGATAGTTAATTTCAGTTTAAACTTAGTTTATTATTATTAGACCACGATTGGTTGTTTGGCTTCGGCTCCTTTTTTGAGACCCAATAAAGGATCCATTTTAGTATTTTATTTATGTTATTGGTTTTTTTTTTTTTCCTTAAAAAGGGTGGAAAAAAATTAAAAAATTAGCAAAGGTAGAAAGGTTAGAATTGGAATTGTAAAGTTTGTTTGGATTCATTTCTTAAAATTTTTGGTGATTTGAGAGCCCTTACAAATTCTCGAGCTAATTCTTTATAAAATTAGAATTGAGATTTGTTGATGAGAAATTCTTTCACGGTTGGAATTTTTTTCTATAAATTCAATACACAATCAGCTATGTGAAAAAAGAATCCTAGGAGTTATAAAAGAAAATTCAGCTAGCAAGTTCTTCACCACCATACCCAACTTCCTAGATCCACCAAATACCCAAAAACAGAAGCAATCAAACATACAAAATCATACAATAGCCAAAACCTAGTTAGAATCTATACCCCTACCATCATCCCAAACCAATCAACAAGCTACAAACCCATAATCAATGATAGCAGATATACAACAAAGAGCAAACAATATTTTGGAGTGTGTTTTGAGGTTTAGGGTAGAAGAAGAAAAATACATAAAGCTTTTTCTGGGTAGTGGGTGTTTGTTTAGCGATTTTGATTTTAATGTGATTTAGGGTTTGATTTGGCTAAGGGGATGGACTTGTTGTCGATCAAGATTTCTTCCAGAATTGAAATAAAGCTCCTATAATTTAACAATACACATGCAAAAAAAGAAAAAAAGACAAGCCCTAGCTACATTATTTTTAAAAGAGGCCATCGACACTTAACACTCGACTGCCATCATCAACAATTTACCAACATCACTACCAGTTTAGTTGGCCCTTACCCAAATGCAAAACAATATAGAAAGAGAACAATATCAAAAAATTAGCAAATAAACAACATTTCAAACACAATAATAAGAAGCAAACACCAGAATTATGATACGAGCCTTTAAAAAATTAGTTAAGATTTCTAGAAAATAAGAAGAACAAAAAATAGAGGAATGATTAGAATAGAAGAAGAAGAAATTCTTAAAGAGAGAATTGAAATTTGTATTTCTTCACATAATGCCTTACAATACTCTCCTTCTCCCCTTTTGAATAGGTTTAGCAGACTATCACAATTGTTTCTAACAATTTCGAATCACACAAACAACCGTAAAATATAAGGCCCTTGTCAAAGCACACACCTTACAAACAAATAAAAGTAAAACAAACCCAATACAGCATACAATAACAAATCCAATCCATTAATCAATTAGGCACTTAACAATACTCCCTCTGTGAAGATGATCCTTGTCCTCAAGGATCAAATGCAGGAAAATAATGTTGCACGTCAAACAAATTCTCCAAGTTGAACCTTCTGTCTTGCACTGTTGGTTATCCACTCCAGAGGCTCCAATTACTTGGTTTATCATGGTCATCACAATCATTGAACTTATCAACAAAGAAGTTTCAGAATCTACAATTGTTGCTAAGCTGCCAGCGCAACATCCGATTGGTTTGTTACAAATAAGAACATCACCCATGCCCCACTGCCAATATCCTTTTTGTGTTACAAGAAGACATGCAAGCTTGCCTTTGTAGTGGTTTGGATCAAATGCAACTTCACCTATTTCTTCTT